TTTGGCCAGGGCCGGATTTGAACTCCACACCTCTGGTATATGGGGCTGGTGCCCTACTCCTTTGAGCCACAGGCACCACCCTTCTTTTTTTTTTTGAGACAAGAGTCTCAAGCTGTCACCCTGGGCAGAGTGCCCTGGCATCATAGCTCACAGCACCTCCAACTAGGGCTCAAGTGATCCTCTTGCCTCAGTTTTTCTGTTCTTAGTAGAGACAGGGTTTTGATTTTGCTCAGGCTGGTCTCAAACTCATGAGCTCAAGCAATCCACCCATCTTGGCCTCCCAGAATGCTAGGATTACAGGCATGAGCCACCACACCTGGCCACCTTTAGGCTTTTCAACAGTGACAATAGAAGCTAGGAGGTAAAGCCACCTCTTTAAAATTCTAAAGAGAAATGATTTCTAAGTTGAAATCAGTAGCCAATCAAACTATCATTTATGATGATAGAATAAGAAAATTTTCAGAAATGGAAGATCTTAGAAGTTTTACTGGCTCAGCACTTGTGGCTCAAACAGCTAAGGCACCAGCCACATATACCTGAGCTGGTGGGTTCGAATCCAGCCTGGGCCTGCCAAACAACAATGATGGCTGCAACCAAAAAATAGCCAGGCGTTGTGGTGGGCGCCTGTAATCCAGCTACTTGGGAGGTAGAGGCAGGAGACTGGCTTGAGCCTAGAGTTGGAGGTTGCTGTGAGCTGTGACGCCACTGCACTCTACCCAGGGCAACAGCTTGAGGCTCTGTCTCAAAAATAAAAAAAAGTTTTACCACCCAAACCCCATTTTCTCAGGAAGCTATCCCACTAAAATTAAGAAAACATGGGAAATGGGGAACATGGGGTCCATTTCAACAGAATCTAAGGCAGTGGTTCTCAACCTTCCTAATGCTACAGTTCCTAAAGGTCATGACCTACAAATTGAGAACCGCTGATCTAAGGGGATTCATCAAGACAGTAGTGACGGCAATCCCAGGATAAAGCTATGTACCAAGCCCAGGGAACCACCAGCTCAGGTTGCAAAAGGACATAATTCTTTGGAGAATTCAGACAAGGTGTTTTGACTCTCCTCTCAGTACACAACTGACAACTGGGGGAAGGGTTTGATAAAATTAGTAATAAATACAAAGAGAAGTAAGTAAAAAAACAAGAAAGGAAAAAATTATAACGTATCATATATGGCCCAGCTGCAACAACGTTGGCATCCTAATACTTAATCAAAGCACTGAATTGGTCTAATCAAAATGTAACTATTTTGATAAATTAGGGAATTGTTTACATATGTGTGGAGAGTGGGGCTGTGAAGGAGAAACACCAAGGTGAACATCAGTTTCCATTATGTTTATTAATTACGGTTACAAAGATAACTATTGAGAGAATCAAAAAAACTCTAAAAGCAAAAGATGATAGACATGGTAAGCCAGGAGACCAGTTCTGTTTGTTTCTAAAAATAGGTTTTTTTAGACAGTAAATATATATTTTTTGATTTTAAAAAAGGCTTTCTTGAATCTTCAACAACCTACCGTTAGTTACTACTGTAATCTTGTTCCAACCTACCAATTGTTAGTTACTACTCATACTAATGATACTCATAATAATATTATTCTTTTTGTCCGACTATTTCTTTTAGACAATTTAAACCCAAATTCATTAATCTGGCTTAATCATTGCTCTGTTTATCACAGTTTTTAAATATTTCATGTTT